TTGATATTGATTCTACTTGTATTACTTTCCAGGGTAAAGTATCGTGAGCAACAGTTAAAACTGCACAATGAGACGAAGCAAAAAGCAAAAGAGTTGGCTCTTGAACAAGAAATAGAAAAACAGAAAAGACTTGACCGACTCAGACAACAGGTACATTTTAATGATTTTTTGAAGAAGGGATCATAATATTTAAAAATATTATGATCCCTTCTATAAAAAATCATGGTAATTTTAAAGTTTGTAATTTGATGACACCTTGCACTTTTTTCATTTTAAAGGTACAGGTTCATGTTGAAGATAATCCTGCAAGAATTTTTAAAGCAACTGAGGTTGGTACCAATATAACATTTGTCAGTAATGTTATCTTTGTTTAAGAGTTAACGATTTTAGTGAGATATATACACACATCTTATTTGTATTTTAAGATTGAAGTATCACAATATTGTAACATGCCCACAGGTAGCTATGCTAATCTGGGTGGGTCATGTTTTCAGGAAATATATACAACTAAAAGTGATAAGAGACCTAAAAACCTAAATGAAAGATTTCTTAAAGTTACATGCAGGCATTTCATTCCATATTTCTGTTCCAATTCACTTGAATTGAGAGTCTGGAACTTTGTGTGTAAAAGTTATTAGTGTCAGAGGATCGAGTATTATAAGAATGAATATCAGAAATATATTTGAAAGAGATCTTGAACGTTACTAGGAGCATTTGTGTGTCTTATTTCAAACATTAGGTTAGCTAAAAGCTCATAATATGAAAAATTTTAATAGTAAAACACCGTCATCAATAAGTAAAGGAATTGCATGCTGATTTTGCTCAGAAAAATACATAAAGCGAAAAATTTGCTTTTGAAGCCTGAGAAGCTTTTCAAGGTAAGATTTACATGCATGGCTCCAGGCCAAATAAGGAGCCACAAGGGATTGATAAAATAATTTATTAGTAGTCAAAAGAGTGACGGTCTTGGCACCAAATTTCGCAGTTTACAGATCAATCCTACAGTTCGGTTCATTTTAATAGCTACAGGCTGAGAGCAGAATCTCACCTGAGTATGATTTCCCACAGGCATCCCAAGCACGTGTGGCCAGCATGTATGAGGAAGAACTTGATCTTCAGCATCCTCTTTTCTCTGTGCATGGATATGATGAAAAGAAGGTCAGTATAGAGAGTAATTTCTACAGCACTGTGCAATTTTTATTCGACAGGATAAGGATTATGATTCAGTTTTGATATCATGAATATTATCTGTTTAAAAAATAAATAAAAGTTTTGAATCACATGTCCATCTTGCTGCTCAGAATGCAAAACTGAAATGTTTCAAGAGATAAATTATTTTACTGTGTGTATGAAGTTTCATAATCTTGTTCATCTTCACCATCTTAGTCATTTATTATTCATCATAAGTGCCAACTGAAATAATGATCTTTGAGAATATCAAATTGAATGTTTCTGTCATCATCATCTACCCCAAAACTATAATCAATAACATACTTACCTGTGGTATTGTCATTATCATTATCAACATTATCAAGCTGGCATCAACAACTTTTTCATCCTCAACAACCTTACTGTAATCAGATCTTCTCGTCATTGTCATCATCATTATTAAATGATGACGATTACATGGTACACGAGGTACAAGATCTGATGATGGCAAGGTTGTTGAGAATGACCTGCCTGGCTAAATTACATGTTCTTAGCAGTGCCCTTTTCCCTTCTGCATAATTTTAGCTGCTGACCTACCCTCCTTTGCTATATCTAAGTAATGTTTTGGATGTTTATTAGTGTTGTGGAAACTTTATAATGATGGCTAGATTTTGTGTTGTAGTTTGGCCGGTATTGTTCAGCATCTTTTCAAACGTTTGTAGCACATCATTAACTAAAAGGTGATCACACCTATATCCACAACACCAAAATACTACCATTTTTTAAAAATGTATCAGTGGGTCAATAAAAAGCTTTAATAGCTTTCTGAGACATGTTCATTTCTTTCAGATGGCAGGAGACACCAGGCTAAAAGTTGAAAGAGCCCTGAGAGATGCAGGAATCCATAACACTGATTATGCAAGAAAAGTCATGGCCTCTATAAAGCCACCTCAAGAACCTAGGAAAGACCAACATTCAACTCTCTTTAAGTATGATTTTCAACAAATAATTTTTCTGCTCAGTACTAGAAATCTCCGTCTCCAAGAACCTAGCAAAACTTGATGGGAAAGGGACAACAGAAGCAGAAAAAGGGAGAATAGCCAAAAAAAGGAGCAGAAAGGGTTAAAAATTATTATATTTAAGCAGTACTTTGCGGGAATCAGATCAGGGTAAAAGAAACACTGAGGGCAAAAGCTATGCCACTAGGCCACAAAAAACCTATTTACTTTTAATTACAGGTTGAAATTCGTTTAAGCACATTTACCCTTAAAAATTTTGCTGAACAACGCTATTTGAAGCTATTCCAGCCATTTTTTGGTCACTGTCCAGCTGGGCTAAAATACAGGTCACTTTTCCACAGGTCACCATTATACAGATAAGCAAACAGCATTAAGTGTCTTCTAGCCCTAATCTCTTAACAAAATGCTCTATTAGATTAAGGGGAATCTGAATTCAAGTGTGAAGCAAACAATGCTGTTTATGTTTTCAACATTACTACTCATTAAAATCATTGCCCACAGTATTTTTTCTCAGGGGATTTTGAAAGTAAAGTGCAAGGATTTTTATGGTGTCTCTGAATTTTTATTTCAGGTATGATTGACAAGGGATTGGCAACTGTTGGATAGCATCTGCTCACAGAAGAATTTCATTTTATTGTATAAATTATTTATTAAAACTCACAAAGTGTACAGTGTAGATTTAATATATTACTATCATCATCATTTTAAAAAAATAATTAACATCCAGTAGTTTTTTTACTCAACTTGGAGACGGTTCTTTTTGGTGGGCCAAACTGAGGTCAAATGAGAAAAGTCTGGGGGAGGGGGGCAAGAGAAAGAAGGCAGAAAGAGCACTGGTTATTCTGTATGTCTTCTTTAGGCTAGAATCAACTGGGTCTTAGAGAAACCTCCTCCTCGGGCACTTCAGTTTCCCCACAGAGGCGAATGCAAATTGGAGTGACATGCAAGTGACTGGTGACAAAAAGCAAGGGACCATGGGAAAGAGAAAAATGAGAGGCGAAGCCCATTTTATTCTTCCCACCCTTTTTTGCACACTAATTTTTATTGAGAGAGAGACATCTGGGTACCAGGCAGGTCTTAGAGATTTACACAAGGACTGTTAATCACACCTACATATTGTAAAGTGCTGTTGTGGATGGCAATAAGAATTCTATTTTTGATGTTGTAACTGTAATACTGAAAATTGGATGGCAATGGAAGACAAATGAAGTACATTTCATTTGATGCAAACTGTTATTGTGTGAGAGTGTTGTTATATTGTGGGTCTTACCCATCATGTTTCTACCTTAATTAGTGTAAGAAATATTGCCAAGTATGATAAATGAAGGAGTCTGTCAAAACATTGGGCAATGTGTTTTTGATATGAATGGATTAAAAAGTCTCATAAAGAGACTTTTTATTTTCAGTAATGGACAGCATTCGTTTTTCACTTCAAGGTAATGTACAAAGTAAATTATTTGGTACATTATGTACAGAAATACATATATACAGCATTTCGTTTTAAATGTCTTTTTGCACAAATTCAAAATGCTTTTAAGTGTTTTACAGTGCAACTACTATGACCCGGGCCATTTAGACAAAGTTGACCTATCTGATTACAAAAAAATAACATTACATTCCAAGAAAGTTGGTTGTGGGCCAATCAGCAGCTCATAAAAAAAAATAAGTTACTCAAAGCACAAAATTTAAATATTGATAGCAAACGTTTTTTCAAAAATCAAAATGTTGCGCTAGACAATGTTTTTCTCTTTGAAATTTTACTTGTAACACCCAGGATACATTTGTTTGACACAAGCTGTTATTTTGTCATCTACCAGCAATTTCTTCACTACCATTGCCACACTTTGACCTCAAGTCAGAAATATAACTTTCCTTTACATTTTTCGCCTCTGTCACACTAACTGTCAGGAAACACACGCTTTCTTCAGCAGGCTCAAAACAGGTTCAAAAGTCACGTCTTTTGGTTGTAATTGGTTAACTTCAATCCATGTTGTTTATTTCATTTTGTGGTAATTATGCTTGACAACTAACTTTCTCAGAATGAATTGTTATATTCCTGTAACCTTTGTCTTGGTGGCCCTGGTTATATTAGTTGCACTGTAATTTACATAATAACTGGTCACCACCACTCTTGATTATACTGTCATGTAAAAACTGGGACAATGGATACATTAAAAAATGTTCTGAATAAAACAATATTATTGTAATACATAGAAATAATGTTAGTTCTTTATACACTTCTATCCTTCTGTTTTTAAAAGATTTGGTAAAATACATTCCACTTATGCAAGCTTTTGCAGAGCCTGCCAATGCAGATACACTGTGGCTACCTTGTCAGCAGTCAAAAGTCACATCCACAAATGTGTCTGCATTTGCAGGCTACCTTTGGAAAGATGCTTCAAAATAAAAGCTAAGGATACTCATACTCCAGCCAGTGAGTGCATACATCTATGTAGCTCATTCCAGGGCCTTTTTCCTCTTTTTGCAGACTTAATAAATAAATAAATAAATATTATTGAACTACTGCTCCTGCATTTCTGGCATGGGAAACCATATCTTAACTTTATATGATCAGCAGTTTCTCTTTTAAGATGTAGTGTAGTGTTTTACTCTCAGGGTAGGCAGTCAAGGAGTGATATTATTTTGTCAGTTCATGACACAGACTGCATCGGTGGCCACAAAAAATACTTGTACAGTGCAATTCCATTCCTGAAATAACTTCCCCAATATTCACCCGGTAGCATTCACTGTACCATAGTTACAGTGTATAAATAATGCAACATGCCAGGTGTGAACAATCACTGTTACACTAGGCTCCCGTCTGCAAGGTTTCTATGTCAACCAAGTATGAAGACCTTCACTGCATGTCAGCTCTTTCAAACAGCTCCCTGACAACTGTTCAGATTCCTGGTAGTGTTTCCACTGTCCACTGGAGATACCGTTACCTTCTTCCAAATCAGATCCACAAGAAACAAACCCCTCTGACTCTGATTTTGTGTGGCTGCTTGGGACATTAAAGGCCACAGATGGTTGGTGTGTACAGAAAGTCGCTTTGAAGGTCCCTTTTTGCGAAGTCTTTAGTAGTTGACACATTTCAAACAGGCAGCCTGGCAGTACTGGTCCAGAAATTTCCAGACTATATAACTGAAAAGAAGCAAAAATCATTTTATAGCAGGTCTGTCACTTAGTTTTCAAGTTGTTGGGTACATGCAAGTAGTAGGTAGGAAAGTGAACAGCTAGGAACTGCTGTTGGTTCTATTTCTTTTTTTTCTTTCAAAAGTAGCCAGGGGACATGCTCATGGTAGCTGGGGAAAATCTTCAGCCGCCGGTCCTCACTGGCAGCCCTGTATAGCATTCATTTGAAGGGGGTCGGGCACTCTGAACTTGTTAAATCGGGAGCACCCAGCATGAGGAATTCTATGAAAAATCTAAGATTTCCTAGTTACCCAGGAGCAAAAGTGAGGCACCAGGAGTCACTGGGCACCAACCTTGTTGTAGGAGAGGATCCTGGGAACAAGGTTGACTGGGTACTGCTATCTGAGCACAGTCTTCACTCTTCCAATAGAAACATTGATGACCTATAAATTTTCCCAGAGGGGGGACACAGATTCTGCTCAAATGTACCTTCCATTTGAATGGACACACTTCAGGCTTTTTTTTCTGTGGTCTCAAAATAAGAGCTACCTTGTTCAGTAAATGTATTATTTCACATAAATGATTCACTTGAAACTTGTTGCAGGGCTGTCGCTTAGGGCCGGTGGCCAGGGATTTTCCCCATGCCAGCTGCCATGTGCATGGCCTCTGGATGATTAGTAAGAAGCCAACCCTCCAAGTTAAAGTTTTTCGCTTGGTAATCGTTTCACAGGAAAGTACCATAAATGCTCAGATCCACAGCTGTGATCTGGGTGAATAGTCACACTTAATCATTTCACCTACCAGATGAGGTTTGGCTTTACTAACAAAGGGTATACAGTGTACAGGCAGTATTTTCTTTACCTGTGTCATCCCTTTGGCTTGCTGATGCTTTAATATTCCTTGGCTGACTTTCAAACTTTTCAAGGTGGCACCATCAAATGCAACAGGAGCCAGAAGTGTTGGTGGAACATGTGCAAGTGGCCCTGTGTTGGAGACTAAGCTCTTGCAGTTAAGCAGGAAGTTAAACAGAGCGTGTGTGTCAGGCCCTTTCACCAGCACTGTGGATGTTGGCTGTTGATCAATAGTTCTGAGGTTGTTTATTTGATGTGGGGTAATGGCTTTTGGGTTAAGCTGAGGAAACTGTTCTTTGTCAAGACCCATGCTTTCTAGCCACTCCCGCTTGTCACTGTATTCATCATCAGAATCATTGTCCCCAGCCTCTGCCTCCTCTTCCTCATCTGAGTCCTCAGTTTGAGATTCACTCCCAGGCTCTTTCTTTCCTTTGCTATCCAAATGTGGCATCATAAAGTCAATCCCTGTAATTTAGCAGAATAAAAGCTCAGTCATGATAATATTTTAGACACTTCAAAGATAACCCTTGCTGAATCTGATTTGTGGAACCAAGCAAACTGCTTCTGAAAAGAGTGAGATCAGTTTCCTGAAAATAGTTTCATAACTTCACTCACAAGTCTCATTAATACAATTATCTTGGCACCTGTGTCTTCCACTGCAGGTTTTCAGGGCTGCGAATTCATTTTCTCCGAATCAGATCTGGCTAGATGACAGCCTACTTGTTTTTCCAACTAATCCTGTGAGACCCATTTTACTAGCTTAGCCTGTGTTGACAGGCATAATCTAACCCCAGCTTGTAAAATGTCTGCGAAGCAGCGCCAAGATGCTGGTTCTTGGCTCCCAATGGACTCAACAAATTACCAGTGTGTTTTGAATCTCCCTTGAACCTGACTGGCCAAAGAAACAATGACTTTTTTACAGGCCAACCAGGGCAAATACTGAGATCCTGGTACACGGGGGGGTCTAGCCTGCCTGTGTGCACAGGCTACTGAGGGTCCAGAAAAAAGATTTAGCAGGTTCGCAGAGGGACTTTACAAGAGTTGAGCACAGGCTAGTTACAGCGGTGAGGCACGTCCCCACCTCACAATGTGAACAGGGCCTAAGATGTTTACTACTGAGAAATACTTACCTTCATTCTTCAATGCATCACGAAAACCTTTACTGGTTGGGGTGATAATTACTTGCATACATTTCTCTCTGTTGAATACTGCAGCTTGGAAGAGCATAGTGTTTTGGTTTGCTACCAGATAAAAATAAGGGCAAAACCCAACTCGCGTAAGATTAAAAATTGATCTGAAACTAGCTATCCAGTCGCTCTGAAGTGCGGAAGCCATTTCGTTTGAGATTTGAACATCCCTTTTTGAACCTACTCTCCCGTCGACAGATTTTCTTGGGAATAATTCAAGCCAAGGTAGAGAAGGGTGCATCCATAATTTTGTGAGGGAACAAAAAGACGATGGATGACAGTTTGCGGAATTGCTACGCACATCAAGATCTGAATCGACATCAAGATCTAGTTCTTTTGTTTTACAACGAACGAAGTTACTCAATCCTTGCCCTTCGTCCAGAGTTTTTAGAGTACCACACCATTGAAACGAATTGGTAGATGTAAATCTTATTTTGTATTTCAAACTCCAGTCTAAAGGAAATGCCTTTGTACCCTCCATTTCCTCCATCGTAGTTTCAACATCTTCACTTTGCTCACAATTAGCGTCTAAAGCTTTCTTGTTGTTCTCGAATAATTTTTGCTCATCTTTTGTCGATTGAAGCGATTTTATAGAAGCATTTTCCACAGTTTCGTCCAAGCCATCAAGAGCTGTAAAAAGCTTACACTCATGGGCTTTTACCTGTGAAGTAAGATTTGCCTTTTTACGAGGAGAACACCGAAAAGGATTTTTTCTTTTCAGCGCCCTTTGGCCGCGTCCATCTTGAACTTGGCCGTTGATAGGTTTCAGGGCATTTGAAATCCGCAAAGATGGACTATGTGTCGCTTTCTTCCTCTTAACCTTCAATTTGATAACACCAGAGGGTTTTACAAGCCGACTGAACCCAGTTTTCGGGGAGGTTTGAGCCATTTCGAGAGATTTTTCACGTTGT